AGGCAAACTCTGCTCTAAGTCCCAGCTCTGACACCTGCAGGTCAGTGTGTCATTGGTCTGCCTCAGCTTGTCTGTCTCCAGCACCAGATGAGTGATATCTCTCTGTTGTGTTGATCACTGTGCAGCTAAGTTCATTTAAATGGAAAAACTCCTTTTTCCTTGTGATTTATACCTTTTCTAACTTTTTTAACTCATCTATAGGGGAGACAAAGGTGAATATGGCAGGATATGGATCAGCTTTTTTTCAGCATCATCGCTGTTCTTCTTTCATTTTAGACTATAAAGTCTGTGCAAAGTAACACCATTCCATTGGGAAGATCAATACTCTCAACAAAAGCAGTATCCCTTGTTCAGCTGGGTAATGCAAAAGGAAAAGTCAAACTGCCTTTCAGCTGCAGAAGCTTTTCACAGATCAGAAATAGAAACTAAAACCTTTAAAGCTAAATATAAGTTGAGCTCCATTACTTGCAGTTTACAAGCAATCAGGCCGTTTCTGAAAGGAAAATCTGTGTGGTGCCTGTGGAGTGGAGGAATTGCTAGGGATGTATTTGGGGAGAGAAAAGGGAGACAGGTGATGGTAACCTGGAGGGGATTTCTCCCTTCCTCGCTGGCTTGACCATTTCCCCAGAAACTGTCTCAAAACATTGCCTGGGGCAAAATCCAGGAAGCAGCCCTGCCTCCTGGTGAGTGTATTGAGTACCAGGACACAACCTTTGGGGGGGCAGAAGAAGAGAGAAAACTTTCTAACGTTGTTGGAAAAAAAAAAGAAAGCAGCCAACGACACTGAGCTTTTCAATCAAAGTACTTCTGAATCAAAGTGTTTCACTGGACTTCTTATTTACACTTTGATATAACCTTTGTTATATTTTGTCAGTTTGCTTCACCCAGGTTCATATGTAGCACTTAATGGTTTGGAGTGTTGCAGGAAAATAACATTTCTTCAGCATCTTTGTGTTTGATTTTTCAGCCTCCTATCTCCTCAGTAGTCCCTTCTCTAATTTTATTGTAATCTAAGACTTGGAATGTTATGAAAGACTTGGATGTTATGTCATCCTCTGGTTGAAAAATGTGTGATTTGCATGGCACTACTACTCTTTTCTATGAATTATTCTCAACTTTCTAAACTGGTACAAAAAATTAAATTGCAGGGGGATTTCCTCTGTTCCTAAAATTACTTTACAACTTTTCATTTTCTTAACCTCTATATTCATGTGGGAGATTATTTTATTACCTGTCAGTTCACGTGTTAGCAGAGATTTGGGAAGTAAACCCCCTAACAAACCTCAATTCTCTTCTCCTTCTCCTTATTATTGGAGTAAATGTTACATTTTTGCCTTTATAATTCTTCTTCCTTCTCTTAAAATCATTTGATTTAGTTAGTAGCAGACCCCACTGCCTGGAGTCTTTAAGATGCTGATAATTTAAAATACTGTTAAATGAAATTATTGGGGCAAAATGATAAATCACAACAATCTCCCTTACCTTTAGAAATCCAAAATACCCCTTCTAACTCTGAAGACTTATATGTGATTTAAGTGATTCCTTCATTTACTAGATTCTTCATCCTGGTACAGTGATGTTCACTGTTTCTTTTACTACTTTTCCAGCATGTTTAAATCATATGATAACACTTGGACTCTGAAAGAGCACTGAAAAAAACATTGTGAATTTAAAAGTGAACTGTATAATCATGCCAAAAATGCAGAATACAGAGCTAAACCCGAAGCATCCTGAGAAGAAGTTTGGCTGTACCAGGTGTCCCTGGGTCACTGCAGAGGGTCACAGGTCTGCTCCACGCAGCCAGAGCGTGTCAGCTGCTGGAGAAAGGAGATGTTATTTAAAGATTTACAGAAAAAATATTTGCTTTAACCAGTGTCCAAACCACAAAGGGTTGAACTCTCTGAATAGCATGGAAATACGTTTGGAAGTACATCCTGCCTTGCCCCTGCCCAGCACATGCCCTCTGTGCGTGGAAGCCTTGCAGGAGGCTCTGCAGGCTCTGTCCTCCCCCTCTGAGGGCTGGCTCCAGCCCTCACAGCCCCAGCACAGAATCTTTATTCTTTACATTTGACATGAAACTGCACTAAACACCCATTTTGGCAACACTGGGTCCCATGGGACCTCAAAGGGAATGTAATATCAGTAAATTAAGCTAAAATCATGTCTGAAACAGCTGAGGAAGTGCTGAGCAGTACAGAGCTCATTAATCCTCGCCCTCAGACAGGAGACTGTTGGGATGCTGTGAGAAAAAAAGGGGAAGCTCTGGGGAAAGGAGTTGTCGTGGTAAACAAGCTTGGGAAAGGTCTGGTTTCATTTTGTGTGCTTCAGTCACAACATGCAGCAAAACACTTGCTGTCCCTGAGGTGGAATTCTCTTTGCCTCTGGCTCTCTCAGTGTAGAAATTTCCACTTTCAAAAAGTTGCTTCTTTACTCCTGCACCCTTGGACAGAGTGCTTTACATGATGGCACCATGGTTTTAATGCAGCAAAGTAGAGCTGCTATTCAAAGTAAGTTGGTTCAGCTACAGAAAGGAATCCCACCATCCCAAACCAGTGCAGTCAATAGAGAGACAGCTGTGTAAAGATTTGTGTCAAAACCAAAACAAGAAAAGATACCAGAGTAAACTGAGGGCCATTCAGACTTGTGAAGCAAAAAAAAAGGCAAGCAATCAAGTTTTTCATTCTTGAAAGAGTGTCAGTCTCGATTCTTGTTAAGGTAGAAGGGTCTGTGTCTCTCACTCCTGTGCACCTGGGTTGTAGCATCTTATATGTTCTAATTTTCAGCTCTTTAGCCAGACTTGGCACTGACAAGACTTCCCCTTGGTTGCTTCCTGACTTCTTGACTGTTTCAGCCAAAATATTTCACATTACTCCTGTATTTATCCACAGAGAAATGCTATTGAAAGAAAGGGTTAAAATAAGATAAGCTCTAATGACTATAAATTAATTAAAGCTTAATATTTCCATGAGGATTAAGGAGGCCTACTTAGTTTCTTTCCATAGGATGTGCCTTTTTCTTTGTCTGCTGTAATCAAACAGTCTGCTAATCATGGAACTTGAAGTGATACATTTATCTGTCTTGCATTCCCATTATGCATTCTGCCCAATTGCTTCTCTAACCCCAAAATTATCTTGACTCAGAGGTAATTCTTCAACAGGTTTATTCACACAGTCCAATGCAACATGGAATTCTGAAAGGCCCTGTTCAGATTTTATGTTAGCTCAACAAAAGGAAAGGGCAGAGCAAAGTGTTGCAACAAACCGAAAAAATTAATCTGGTGTGTTTATAACCTCATTCTTGGTTCTCATGCAGGTTTCTCAACTTCTGCTTTCCATTTATAGCATGCCAGGCAATAATATCAAATTTTTGTAATCTTTGTAGCGTAGTGAGGCCACAAAGCATGGAAAAGGAGAACTACCTTAGTGCAGGTTATTCCTACTCGTTGAACCTCACTGAGTTCAGCTCCTTTTTGAAGTTCTGGCTCTGGATTCTGGTGTTTTCTGCAGCAGAACTCAGAAGTATTCATTCCCAAGCTGTTCAGAGGGACAGCCTCATAGAGGGGTAAGAAGAATGGGGATTAGTTTGTAAAAAAGCAGCATGTGGTAGTGGGTGACTACGTCTGCTCTGCCTTCTCTCATCACAGCTGCAGTGCTGGCTGTTTTTCTTCATGTTGCAGGTGAGCTTCACGGTACAGCTCCATGTCTGCACACCTCAGGAGAGGAGACAAGTGCAAGCAGGGATGGCAGTGGAATTCTGCTAAGGGCAGATTATCTGAAAGCCATTTATTAGATATTCTTCATTGCAGAATATGGTGCTGGATGCCAAGCTGAAACTTTTCGTGGCTGTGGCATGTGGACACCTATTTAACAGGATATGGTCTGGAAATTTTGCTGGTTGTTTCATGCTGATTGTTTCATGCTGGTATCTCAGTATTACAGTGGAGTAAATCACTTGAATTGGCAGCCCTGGTGACATTCACATCAGTGTAAACACCAAAGAGCCAATATTTGCATTTGAAATAGTCTGATAAAGATGAGGAATAACCAACATGTAGTGTTGATTATTCTACACCTGTGGAATATCCAGAAGGAATGTTTAAGCTTCTTCTAGAACCTGCTGCAGTAACTGGAAGCAAACAGAAGGGATTTAAAATGTGGAGATAAAATTAAGTCTATCAGGAAATGTAGCTGCAGAGTCTAAGCAGCTCTCACATATGGTATGGCTGGAGCAGGGAGCACCTTAGGTCAGTCAGATTTGTCTGGATGTTGTGTGGCACTCTACTTGGAAGGCTATAACAACTCCCAGCTCAGGAGTAGGTTAGTGCTTGAGTTCTGGGTGGGAAAGAGAAATTGATTAAATAAGAAATGTGATAGATTCCAAAATGTCAGAGAGTGTCATGTGTCCAGAAATTAATTCCCAAGGTGACCATACCATTCTGTACACAATCAACCACATTGTTTGGGAAAGAATTGTAGGAAATGTTTTCTCTTTCACTGTTCCTTCTTGTGCTGTGGGGATGTCTCCTAGAGCCACCTCCAGGGCTTAGGAACTGGGTGTGGCATCTCAGCCAGAAGCTGCTTCCCTTGAGATGAAATTGTCCCGAGAGTAAAAAATGGGCTTCTTCTTCCACCATCTTCACTGCAGTCTTCTAATTTCCCCAACACCTGCTGAATCTGTGCTTCCATCATTTATATCCTGGTAAGATACAGGGGTTGCCACTTACTAAATACTTTTGGTCCTGGTGGTCAGACTGCAGCATCCCAGTGCCCTGGCTGGAGTGAAAGATAGGTGAGTCTCACTGCCAGCTGTGTTTGGGTCTGTAAGTTTAAGGATCTCAGGGTTATAACTCAATGCAGGTCTAAGCAACACCAGTTCCCCAGAAGATCTCAGTGTCCTGCCCACAGAAAGCCACAGTGCAGGAGTTGTGGTTTGGATTGGCAGAAGCTGTGATTTTGTCAGAGTTAACGGTCTGGAATTTGATTTCAGCCATCAAGAGACAAACCATGGATTTTGTGCCCGAGAATGGCTACCTTGATTTACTGCACAGTGACTTCGACCCGTTGCAGCTGTGTGCTTTCCTTGATCCTAAGTCATCTGGAGATGGAGAAGGTGACTTCACTGCAGGTTAGTAAAACTCTAAAAAATGTCTGGTTAGTTCAGTGCTCATGCTGTAAGTTATTTCCATCTCCTCTCAGACACAGAGCCATCTAATGGCACTTTATCTTGGTGGTGGGGCTAAATTCTACAAGCACTTGGTGTTATGATATGGTAACTTGGTCTGCATCTGTATATATAGTAGTGACTGCTTCCAGAAACTGTTGTGTTTTAAAACTGTACTCATTTACAGCATCCTGCTGAGTCAGTCTAACAAAACTTACTGTACTGGGATCATTGTGATTGATTTTTTCCCAGGCTGAGCTTTTCTCTCTCAACTTGACTGTTAACTACAGCTGCAAGGAGTATTTCTTCAACCCCTGGCCTCACTTGCTCAGTGACTGAAAGTAGGATGAATTACGGATCAAGGACTGACTCTTGTGCTATCAGAGATGTTTCATTTGTTTGAATCCGTTTGAGCCTTAGCAGTGTCTGAGGTGATGTAGGTAAATCAAACATCATCAGGACACACCACCAGTTATTGGAAGCTGAACATCTCTGCTGGGAAGGTCTTAGCACATTCCCAGGCATGGGTTTGGCCTTGGCCAAGTGGAAGCTTCACAGGCAATCTGCAGTACATGGACACAGCGTTGTTCTGAACAGGGAATTTCGATGGCACCACCGTATCCTGCTGAAGAAAGTTTAATAGTGTGAATGAGTCTGGGCTTTAATGTCATAGAATGGATTTGAGAAATGTTTTATTTACTAGGAGAGATGAGGTCTCAGAGTTTAGCAAAAGAAAAGCGCTGATTTCCAGGTGATTGTGAATTACTGAGAGTTCAGTTCTGTTCCTCCTTAGCCAACTTACAGTGCAGAGCCAAAGCCTGTTCTGCATGTCATGCTATCTGTGTTTTTTGCTCCTTATTTATGGTATTCACTGAGCCAATGCATATTCTTCTTTAGATCTTGAAGTTGACGCCAGCAACTATGAACAGTTAAATAATATGGATTTCATGACTACAATGGAAAATGGTGAAAATGGAGATGGGTCGTATCTCTGTACCAACACCACAGATGCTTATGCTAAAATGGGTATGAAACTAATTTTAGGGGTTTAAATTGTTATTTTACAATCACTTATTGTAGCTGTTCCTTACAGAAATCCTGTTTTCACTCTGAAGCAGTGGCACATGCTCAAGTGGCCTGTTCCTCATGCATGGCAGATCAAACCAGAGCACCTAAACCTGTGCACTGTGGGGAAACAGAGGAACAGTATTTGTAGCTGTTGGGGGGAAATCTCTCTATTAATGTCTTCTTCTGCTTAATACTTCCTGTCTCAACTTCTCCTTTCTTGTGATCTTTATTTCCTGAACAGCAATTTACAAGAAAAACTTAAATTAACTCTTCAATTTTACTTAAACTGCAGATTTCTGTTAATAAGGGCAAGCATACAAGAATTTTACTGAGAAATTCACTATGTCACTGCTGTATCCCTCTCTTTTTCTTTCCTGTGTTGCTAGCTGAATTAGTAGAATATGTGCTCAAGGATCATCAGGAGAAGCAGGTGGAAGACATTTTTGGTAAGATTCATATGCCACTCATTTTCTCCATAACAGTGTTCTGGCTACCATGTGCTTCGTGCTCACAGTTCAAACACTAATGAAGTTTCTACACATCTGGTGTCTTCTTTCCACTTGTGAACAGTGTCCCAGGATTTTCTTTTCAGTGTCCTGGAGATACTTGCTTGACTTCTGGGACAAAGTCATTGCTTAGGTAGTAGCAAAAATGCAGCTGTTTACTATTTCAGAATATATATATTAATGTGTGGCTGTTGAGAAATCCATAGAATCAGAAAGATTCACACAATATCTGCATATCCTTTTTTTATGTTTGAGCAAAATAATTTGGAATAATTTACCAAAGGTCAGTCCTTCCCTAGAATAATTCTGGCTACAGGAAGCTCACATGACTTTTCAAATGATTTATACTGCTCCCTGGAGTGTCTAGAATTTGGGGGGTTTGCACCTAATGGCAATATTTATATTTGTTTTAGAAAAAAACCCAAACAAGATACAGTATTAATACTTTAGTATTTGCCAGTAGAAGAATGGTATGGGTAACTTCACAGTTCTTGCAACACAAAGTATAAAATCATTTTAGAACCCTTTACTGTGTCTCCTAAAGGATCTAATCCCTTTTGTACATAAATTGAGTAACTTTACCTGTACTGAGATCACAGTGTGGCAGGGCTGTGATGTTTTATCCTTTGCTCATCCCTAGAGCATTAAGAAGTATTTATGTTTTATTTGCCACTGAATTTATGGCAGTAGATTTATAGTTTGCAGTTCAGAAACTAACACATGGTAAGAAAATCTGCATTCAGAGCTCTGTGGGCTTTCTAAATCATATTAATCTGGGTACATGTTTTATTGCATAATATTTTACCTTTTATTTGGAGCCTATTCCATCTTTGCTGCCTGATGGTGTGTTTCTCTAGCTTTTACTTCTCTCTGCAATTCTTCTGGGAGAACAAAGGTTGACATTTGGCCATATTACATGTTTTTAGCAGGGAACCTCAATTTGGATGAAATGGCTGCTGAAAACACTGAGAAATTTCCTGATGTAAAGAAGCAGAAGTGTCATAAACGAAGTAAGCGAAGACCATTAATAATTTGGAAGGGTGTAGTGTTTGAATTCTGAACTCTCATGGTTTTAGCACAGCCCCAATGCACTTCTCATGCAGTTTTTCACTCATTCAAACTGATGTGTTTCCTCTGCCCCAGCTCGTGGTGTGTGGGCAGGAACTGAAAACAGCTCTTCCAAGCACAGGATTTACAATTCACAGAATTTGCTGTCCTGTGACATGGCATTAGGCACGATCTATTTCTTCACATTTTTATCATCCATGTGACAGTGGATTAACTTCTTTTTCATTGGATCTATAACTTAGCAAGTATTGGCTGAACAATTCCCTCTTTAACAGCAAGGACAACAGCAAAAATCTTTGAGTGGTACGAAAATCTGCAGCCTAATTAAAACTTCACAGTCAGAGTGAAATAATAATATGAGGCTTTTCACATTCATGTCTATGCACTGGACCTGCACAGTTCTGAAGTAGCTGAATTGAAACTCATAACACCCCCTCCTAGTTTAAAAGGTTAAAATAATCTTCCATGGGGTAAACTCAAAATTACCAAACTGGTTCAGTTTTTGTCACTTATTCTCACCTTTCTTTCTTTCAGCCTTCTTAGGCTCTGCAGAGAATTGTACTGATGCTTCAGACCCAAAATACAGGAAAATTGGTAAGTCATTGGCTGAATAGGAGAAGATTATGGAACATGTATTTTCTCAGGTTCCAAAGTCTCATCCTCTGCTAGGTATTGGAGCTCTGTCTTCCAGGAAAAATTCGCTCTCATAGATTTGGTGATTTTGACCATCATGCATTTTCATGGTTCTGCAAAAATCACACTTTTATACTTCTCTGACTAATTTATAATGTAACAAATCCATGTCCTCTCATCAGCAACTCTTAACTGGTGCAACTTGGGACCAGCCCCACAGTAGCCCAGGAACAGCTGGATCCTTACGCTTCAAAAGCACATATTCCTGCCAGGGGATAGGAAAATTACTTTCTTAACATCAGCACAGTTGAGCTTTTCTAAATCCATCTGAAAGAAGAAAGCAAAACAGTGGAGAACTGTCTTGGTGCCAAATTCTGTAGTTTTGATCACGTACACCTCTTGTTTATGGTGGGTAATATGACTCAGGTCGTAGTGCGGCGTTTCCTGGGCTTGATCTTTGGAAGAAGTGTGACATCTTCCAAAACTCTGGGGAAACATCCTAGTGAAAATAATAACGGTGAAGAGATGATTTCTTGGTCCAGTCCATGCTATAAAGTCCTTTAACCAAAGTAAGAAAGGGAGAAGGGGAAATTTCTAGGCTTTTGCACATTGTTAGACCATTTACAATGCCCAAGGCCAGCAGTCAGGCTGGAACTCGCTCCCTACATGTCAACTGGTGCTATTGCTCTTACCCAACTGTAGCCTAAATGGGTGTGTCAGACATAGATAAAACAGCAAAATACTCTTCCAACATCCATGTGAGAGCAACCAGTTTTGGATGAATATTTTATACTGTGTTTTGAATTGACATTTGACTCGTTGTATGTCAGCACACCTCATGAGCCTCCTCAGGGGAACTCTGACTGTACCAAACCCTGGGGGCCATGGACATGTCAGGGAGGGCAGCCAAACCAGAGTGTAACCTAGAGATCCATCCAGAGAGCTCCTGGATCAAGGGGCTGCACCTCAGCACAATTCAGGCCAGCAGCTGGTCAGGAACTGGCACAGACTGGGTGAAAGTCAGAGAGAACAGACATGTGCACTGGGTCTGGGATCCGAGCTCATTTTCTGGTGTTCATATGCAGTTCTGAGGCAGTGGGGAGGGATGATTGAACAGAATTAGCTGTAGAAAAGATACATTTGCTAGTTCTGGAGAGGTAATCAGAGTTTCTAATGAATGGGTACCTGATGATTGTAGTTATTTAGGCACAGGTGAAGTTCCTGTCAGCTGGTACCCATTAAAAGTGGGTTACCTTCTATCTGCTTAAGTTCCCTTAGAGATTAAGCACTTTTAAAAGCCTTTTTTTATGCCACAGTAACAACAAGAGTTTTCAATAAAGAAACAGCACATCAGTTCCAAATGTCCCACCCTACAGAACTTGCATTCCAGCATCATCACAGAGCTAACAGGTGCTTTGTAAAGCTGCACCTATCCTTTTTCTGGAAGTCCTCACAATGTTTTCAGTCTCTCTACCTTCCTTGATGCACTAAAGGCACTGAGATGCTGAGGAAGGAATATATACATAAGACAGTATAAGTACTGGGTACAAAAATCTAATGGACAAAAAGATGGGCTACTTGACAAAATCAGGAATTTATTTAAGCTGTCACAGAGTGATCCTGCAAAGGTAAGTGCATCAACTCTTCAGAAGGGTAGGACTGCCTACAGTAAAGAGGATAATGTGTGCTAAATTCAGAGTGGCAAGCAAAGGATGAGATTCTTTCAAAGGAATTGAAGGAAAGTAAAGTTTATGTTTGCCCAACTGTTTTGATAGATAGAGCAGTACCTGTTGTCATCTGACCATATCAATGCAACAATCCCTGGGTAGGAAATTACAGGGGAATTTATCCCACTGATTTAAGCATAAGCTGAAAAACACTTTTTAAAATCTGATTTTATACCTCAGTAAAAATGAAAGATTCTTTAACAAAATAATACATCAGTTCCTCATAAGCAATGTAAACACATCCCACCCTAAAAGGCTTGCAATGAAGACACAGTGTAATTTATAGTGGCACAAAACCCACTCAGGTCTGTAGCTCTAGATAAAAACATCAAACCACAGAAAGTGATCAAACGTAGACTTACTTTTTGCTTCTAGACAGGAGAGGGAAGGAAAAAGCAAAAAAAAAAATCTCTGAGAATAAGGATGTGGCAAAACCAAGGAAACTAGAAGAATAATTCAAATTAGCAAGTGTGTCTTACTTAATTTGTAAGAAACTTTCCATAAGCAGATGAAATTGTATAATGCATGAGTCTCTCTCCCCATTTGTCCCATTTGTGGAAGGAAAAAAACCGCTGTGGGCAAGATGCATCCTTTAAAATGCAGGTGTTCGTGTCTGTTCTTTGGGAAACACTCTTAGAGTTGTCCTTTCAAGCACTGTAGTGTCTCAGCAGAGGCCTCAGTTTGCTGCATTTGGACCTCTCTGCTCTTGTACAATACTGAGATAACAAACTGTCCTTGGGAAATTATCACAGCCAATGTCAGACCTTGCTATGTCTAATCTGTCAGCTATCCATGTGTAACATCAATTTACTTATTTATTTACAGCTATCCCTGTGTAACATACATTTACATTTAAATCTGGAGATTTCTAAAAATAAGACAGACCAGGAAATATGAAAAAAAGAAAATATAAAAGGTGAACTACTCAGAAGAAAAAGTGATCCGCTACAGAATTTCAAAAATATGTTTTAGATTTTGAGAGCTGAGTATATTCCAGAAAGCTACTGTGAATTGTTCTTGCTGACTAGTGATTTATGATATCTATTGTTATCTCTTCTTTGGTCCCCTCAACTTCTAGCAATGAGATAACTTTCTCCTTTCGTTTTCCTTTTTTATTTTAAAGTGGAAGTGCCTGCAGTGTCTGCAGGGAATGGCAGCTTCTTAGCTCTGCCTCTCAACAGCCTGCCAGTGAGCTGCACCTCCCTGACTAACCAGCACTTGTCCTTTTCTGTTCCTGATGCCCACGGGCTGGAAAGAAGTTTCCTAATTCCTGGTACGTACCCAGAGCTATAGGTGTGCACCTGTACAGAGGTTGAGTTATACAAGGGGAAAACTCTCTTATAAATCCTGACCGTGAACAATGGCAGGAAAACCAAGTATGGCAGCTCTCTCAATCAAGCACTTGAAAGTGTGGCTCTCACTAAAAGAATGAAAACATTCAGGGGAAATTAAAGGCATTGCCCTTAATGAAATAGGAGGAATCCTGCATTTAATTGGTGAAGTGCAGGTTATAAGAGAACAGTTATTTACTGTATGCTGATCTAAGTAATTACCTACTTTTCTTAAGAACAGGAAGTCACAAAACTTTCATTAATAAACTTTGATTTAGCTTCAATTACTTTTTCACTCTGAGGTCTGTAAAGGACTGAGGGATAATTACATTTGCAATAGTAGAGCAAAATCTAGGTTGTAATTTAGCTCATAAAAGCTGAGTAGTGAGGGGCTGTGTAGCAGAGGGTGCTCATGGTACACTGTGAAGTGATAATAACAAAGACACAGTTCAATAATAATAATGGCCAGTCTTCGCGAGCGAAGATCCGGGGAAGGTCTTTCCACCTTCCAGCCTGCGCATTGGATTTTTTAGGTGAGACACAGTGTGCGCGAAACTGAGCCCACCCTACAGTTCAATACCTTTCACTGTTAAATCTGTGCTGGAAAGGAATCAAAAGCAGGCTATAAGTTGGAAGTCTTGAAGTATCTGATGCTAGCTGAAGCAGCATAAAGCAGCAGAAGAAATTCTGTCACACCTACAGAAACTTAGAGCTATGGCTGATTAAATTGCAAGCATTGAATCATCAAAAAAATTACCCATTGTGGGTTGGGAGGGGGGATGGTTGCTGGCTGCTTGTACAACCTGCATGATGTTCACTTAGGTGGGATGCTAAAATTAATGTGGATACTATTTTCACATCTTCTCTCTTCTGGGTCTCTGTCAATATGTCGACAGACTTTGCCTTAAGCACTTCTCCTTATATTATTAGAATTTCCTTTTAGACTGTCTAAAAACAGTGGTCACTAAAAGCTGGGTAATCCCTTGTACTTCACATTCATTGTACCCTTTAAGAGTGACTTTTCTAAATGTTTTCTATGGACCTCATGTGATCCTGTGGATATTTGCACTAGAAGCTCCATAAAGGATAAATAGCCTTTAGAAAGATTTTTCTCTCTTAGAAAACTTTAGAAACCAGGAGCTTTAAACATAGAATAGTAATTGTTCTGCACTCATTTCAGGATCTTCAGAACCTCTGACTGCAGGGTTCCTACCTGTCAGTGTGAAAGGGAGCCAGGACAATCCAGGCTTTGCGGATCCTCCTCAGCAGTTACTTAACTTTGTTCTTGAAAATGGCATATCTGATTTTATAATATATCCAGGTAAGAGCAATAGCCTTTCATCCACATAAATAGGCATAAAGTGCTGAAAAATCAGTGCTGCCAACAAAGTACTAAGTTCAGTTATTGATAGCTATGAGATGCTAAAAACTACCATCTGTTTCTTGCCAGTGCTGACTTCTTCCATGGAAACATTCATACCCCCAAGTTTTCCAGTTGGTTCATTTGGTAAGTAGAAAATTGATTTTTATATGTGTACAGCACTTTTAACTGCTAGAAGGACTATATTGTTTCTACTCAAAGCCAATTCTCCTCTGGCAGGCTCTGCTCATATTGGTCTTACTGAGGAAAATAAAAATTGATGGCATTGCCTTTTTTGTATTGATCACTGTCTGCTTAATCTAATCCAAAATAAGGTGCAGGTAAGGGGTTGCAGAGCTACAGGTTCAGCTGTATTTTAGCAGCCTCTGTGTTTGCCATGAGGTTCCAGTTCCTGGAGTAAGTCTTGCCTAGTTAAAACAACGCAAAGCCCAGTGTGCTTGAGCCCCGTTGGAAAGTGGAAGTTGTTCTGGTCCTGAAATGCTCAGTGCTGGAAGCCAGAGCGCAGCTCACATGGAAGCCCCAGAACCAAACCTGTGAGGACTTAGATCTAACTGAACAAAACAGAAGCCTAAAGCACAGAAAGGCTTATAAAGAAGTCAGAGCCTCGATCAGGATATAACAGTCCCACCGGTGGCAACGAACTTCCCTGAGACACTTTTTCCAGCCCTCGGAGAGGAGTTGGAAGCTGGAGTTTGATGTCAGTGTTCAGTTGCTGGTCCCTGCAGCTGCAGCAGCCCAGTACAGGTGTTCTGTTGCCCTCTGGTGGCTTCCACCGCCACAAAAGCAAAGGCATAAAGTGGGGAATAAGAGGTAAATATCCCTAGGTCTGGGGAAGTCTTTGTAAATTATATATACTGCTTATCTTCATACACAATGCCGATGATTCCAACCGATTTGCAGCAGTCTCAGAATTCCAAATGCAGCAGAAGATTCCAAGCCAGTGTCCTTTCCTTCTTGAAAAATTATTCACTCCTGACTGCTATGATCAGTTTCTCATCTAAATGTCCCATTACAGCTTCTTTGGTTTTTCATTCTGTTTTCTAAATTAATAAAATAAATAGTAAACCAAAATCAGACACTTGCCTGAAAACAGGCACGACCCTTCTTTATTTAATATTTTAGGTTGTTTTTTTTCTACAAGGAGGAGAGCTATGTTTGTATCAAATGTATTCTTTCTCTGAAAAAAAAGACTTGCTTATTAGAAGTCTGTGGTGCTTCCCTGCTAGAAACAACTCTGAACTCAAACCATTCCAAAGTTTGCTGGCATGCAGGGTAGGAATTAATTTCCAGATCTCTGAAACTCTAAGATTTGTATTTTTTTAAGCCACATTCGACATCAAGATGATGGTATGGTATGAAATGTATTTGTACAAACTTAGGGAGATTAACCTGCTTTGATTTGGGGGATTTTTTGCACATCTCTGTTACGTGTAGTTCCAAAATTAAGAGATTGGGTTTGTTACAGTCTCTGTCAATTTAAATTCTGTCTTGCATTTGCAAAGCTTTGTCTACCAAGAGTTTTGTCAAAACTGATAGACTGCCATTACCAGCCTGTAGAAAATATGCTCTCTCTGAAACATTCCTGATTTCCTTCTGTAAAGCAGACACTGCTCATCTGACACATGTGCAAAAATTTGAAAGCAAACACACAAAAGCAATGGAAATTGGACAGCAACAGGACTTTGCCAGCAAAAGCAATGGGTAAATTCTGTTACCAACAGTCACTTTGCTATGATTTTCATCCTTAGTGTTTGGTTACAAGATGTAGAATAACAAAATGAAGCAATTGCTTTTGAAGACATAGAGAAGCACTATGTGTGAATGTGAATTTATGCAAAACTCTGACACTTAAAAGAACAATGGATGTCACCTTGCAATGACAGATCTGCTTCGTGCCACTGTCAGAGCAGCTGTCGGCTTGTTTGGTGCCGCACTGTCTGCAACTGCATGTCAGCTGAATCCTACCTGTGTGAGGACTTCTTTCCTTTTCCTTGTAAAGTCAACAAAATCTCTCTTCCTCTGGATATATGCTGCAATGAACTTAAAAATTTACATTAGTCTTATTGTTAAAATTAGTAAGGCTGAATCAATTACTATCTCGGTGTCTTCTTCAAGTATTTTGTTTTGTTTCTCCAGACGTGGAAACATTTGAAGAAGTTCAAGATTCCATAGTTCCTTCTGAAGACCCTTTCAAAACACGGGGTGAGTTTAGAACTCTTAACTTAAACCTTCCAGTATTTTCTGGAAAAAGACTCTTGTGCCTCTTTTCGTACAGAAAACTACTTGTAAGAATTGTCCTTAAACAATTTGTGGAGCTGTTCTGAGAGCCTGGGCACAATTCCTGTTTTCAAGATGTCAGACTTTTGACTACCTTTAGATGTCCAGCTGTAGTACTTACTTTTAGCAGGTCATCATGCTTAGCTGGTTTTATCATCTGTGTAGATAGCTCCAAAATAATTCAGTTCCTAGATTTAAAAGTGTCTGTTGTGACTGCACTTCTAACCTGCAGTTGCATGGGATAAATCCAGACCTATGGGCTTTGTGGGAATGGACGTGTTTTCACCATATTACCATAGTACTTAAAGCACCATGAAATGATGTTGTAATTTGTGGGCTGGTTTCTTCAGTTTGTGTGTGCTTTTTATTCCTCTAGAGCTGGTGGAAACTTTCTGTACATCCCTTAAGGATTATTTCCGAGACATGTGCAAGTTTGTGACCATGGAGCGTGAGGTAGCTCTGGATCACCTGTTCATTGATGGGACACTTGTTCAAAGCCAAACTGAAACCAGGACTGGGAGGAATAATGCAAAAACAACAGAAAACCAGCTAGTAACTTGCAGTCTGCACGAGAAGGAAAAGACAGCCATTGATAGAAGCCAAATATTTCAAATCCCACAACGTAAAGGCTTAGAGACTAAAGTGATTGTGATGCTGGGAAAAGCAGGAATGGGCAAAAGCATACTTGTTCAGAAGATCTGCCAGGACTGGTCCAATGGAGAGTTTTCTGAGTTTGAATTTGTGTTTTGGTTTGACTGTGAACAAATAAGCTTGCCTGAGAAGCGATACAGCCTGAAGGAACTGCTGCTTGAATTTTTTGTAAAACCTCAAGAGGGAAACAAAGAGATATTTGAGTATATATTGCAAAATCCTGCTAGAGTCCTTCTGGTTTTTGATGGTTTTAAAGGATTGCATGACCATGAGAATTCTCCTCGTCGCTCAGCCAGCCTGCCTGAAAAAGATTTGTACAGTATAAAGGAGCTGCTTTCAGGACTCATCCAAAAAAAGATACTTAATGGTTGTACCTTATTATTTACAGCAAGACCAAAAGACAAGGTGTACCACTATGTGTCCAAAGTGGATAAGACTATTGAAATAGTAGGATTTTCCCCTGAACAGAGAGAACTGTACATAACCAAATACTTTGAAGGATTACCCCACTGTGACAGTGCACTGAAATTAGTCAAAGAGCGTGAGTACTTGTTCAGTCATTGTTACAGCCCTGGTATGTGTAGATTTATTTGTTTTCTTTGTGAGGCAGCGCTTGAAATGGGAGAGGAAAGCCTCCCTTCAACTCTTTCTGAAGTCTTCTTGAAATTTTTTCAGCAGAAGACAATACCTGTGCAAACAGATGCCACAGGCACACAAAATCAAGAGAATCTTGCTGCCTTAGCCCGTATAGCCTGGTGTCTTGGAGAAAAGCACCAAAGAGCCATGAAAAGTGATCTGTTTCCTTCTAAGGAAGTTAAAGAGTTTGCTCTGAAATATGGATTTTTCCTGCCATTTGCATTCCCCAGACATTCAGATAGTGAGGAAGAGGAATTTGGGAGCATGTTCTCTGATTTTGTCGTTCAGAACTTCTTGTGTGCGCTTCACCTTTTATTAGCAGAAGAGCTCAAGGATAAAAGTGTGACAAAGTACCTGTCTTTTCCATCCAAAAGGAAAAAACCCTATAACTGGTTAGATTTAGTGCCTCGATTTCTGTCTGGGTTGTTGTTTCTCCAGGATGACCCTTACTTCTGCTCCCTTTCAAATCAGGACGCAATACAACCAGTGAAGAAGCAGAATAAACTCTTGAAATACATTAGAAGGCTGCAGATTAATGATCTCTGTCCAGAGAGGTTGCTGGAGCTCTTACGCTGTGTTTATGAAACACAAAACCATTACCTCCTGCAGCATGTGGCCTTGAGACTCAAGCCAGACTTGTCTTTCCTGGACATAGTCCTTACACCACCCGACGTCCACGTGCTGCACTCTATTTTAAAAAGGTCAAGAAAGGAGTTTTCCTTGGATTTGAGAAACAGCAGCATTGACATGCAAGGGCTCAAAGACTTGGTCAGCCTGAAGAACGTGGCGTCGTTCAGGTTGGTCACTCTCTGTATGTAGTTCGTAGCACTGTCTGTAGATGACACCTTTATACAACAACAGCTGCCACATCTGTTGGTTTTGCATGTTTTGTCACTCCACAGGGCCTCCCTCAATGACACTGTCAGGCTCTGGAAATCCTTAGAACAGTCGAAAGACTACGAGCTGCTGAAAGCCTCTGCAGAGAAATTTGTTCTTAATCCCTTTAAGGCAAAGACGATGAAGGACATCAGTGACCTCTCTGACCTTGTAGAGATACAAGAGAAGATGGTGAATTGGTAGGCTCGTTTGTGATCAGAAATCTCTTGTGCTAGCAATTTCAGAAAATGGGGTTTCACTCACAGTGCTGCACAACAGAGTTCTCTGCTTCTCCAAAGGAGAAGTAACTCAGGCAGTGCAAGCTCCTGTACCACATCAGGGAGTTCTCCTACCCCGCTGTGAGGTGGCTGTCACAGCAGGGTGGAGCAATGACAGCCTCACACAGAATATTCACCAAAAGTGCCAATAAAACAGCCAGCTGTCATTTCTTTCTTCAGATTTCTTTTCAATCTCCAAGTGGGCCATCTTTCAATTGCTTTCAGTCATAACTTGAGCTGATTCTTTTCCCCTGTAGCCCCTGGGCCATGAATGAAAGCTCGTTTTGCACTAGTCACATATGGCCTGAGTCAGTCTTTTAGCCCAGGAGGGGAAAGCTTGGATCTATAAACCCTGTGTTTCATCCCTGCTCATACTGGGGCTAGGGGACTGGTTGCAATCAAAAGCACACAGAAGTAAAGTTTTTGGTTTGTTTTTTTTAAAGGATGGCTTCCATTTTAAGATGTGCAGAGTATTTTGATTAAAATATAGACAAAATAATTTCATGTCTGAATAGAAAAGTGTATTTTTAAGTTTTATTGGAAAAAGAGCAAACAACCACTCTGTGAAAGGCAATAATCAGATGGAAATTACTTGATTGAAGAAAGGTTGGAGCAGAAGTTATTCTGAAGTTTCCTGGTTCCTCGGTTAATTCAGCAATGATTTATGTCCTGTAAAAATTTACTAACAAATTATTTTTAAAGCACTGCTTTGGTTGCTAAAATATTTATCATACTCTGGTTCTACTGTGATTTGTTTAGTGAGCAAGATGCATCTGAGTCCACCAGCTATGAAATCCGTGCCATCAAAAACCTCAGAAAACTCGAATTTGCGTAAGTGTTGTGCTTCACTGCTGATTGACATGGTTACATTTAAGAAGGAGAAGTTGTGGATATTGCTACAGTCCTTGAACTGATGTATAGTTAGTTTATGGTAACGAAAACCTATTTTGCTTTTCTCAACCAGATTTATTAAATTGTGGCCAAAACTCAGAAAGCATCATTTCTGGCTCCTGCAGTGATACAGATCAGCAAGGTTTTACCAATTTTGTTTGATTTTAATACAAGTTTGCTCCTTACCACCAGGTGTAGATCTTGTGCCACAGGGTACAAAATGTCTTGATTGTGATCCAGCTACCTGGGGAATATTTTTTCCCCCAGAAATGCTCAACTTTCCTATCTGGGTCTCCTGATGTGATTTTCTGCCCTATCAGAGCTCAGGCCATGAGGGAATCATGTCAGAGAACGCCTCCCAAATAAATTATTTAGCACCCTTTTCCTAGAAGAAGGAAGGTTGACTTGGAAACACTTACTTTGAAAAGGAGTGTTTAGTAACATTTCTTTTTTCCCCACAAACTTCAAGCAGCCTCCAAGGTTTTTCTATTGCTTAAAATATCCTGCCATGGGCTGTGAATCAGTTTGGGCAGAAATTGCAGCAGTGCAATGGAGAACTCTCAGCAGGTCTTCATCTGTTTCCTGCCCTTCAAATCTAACCCAACCTAGCACTGCTATGCTTGGCCTCACTTCTGATTTTATGCTGCTTTCTGTTCTCCTTTCCTCTTCTTATTTCCTTTTATTTAAATTAAATTTAAATCCTTTTAATTAAATTTACTCTGATACCAAAGAAACTCCCAATCAGAGATTAGGATCTGAGGGACTAATGTTGGGAGCATGGATATCAAAGCACAATTTATGCTTTAAAAAGCAGTAAATGGTTGATTTTTAGTTAGTCTGAATTGCCAGTAGTTGAGGCAAAAAATATTTTTTTTATCCCAGTTATCAAGATTATACTTAAAATTAAAAACCTAAGAAAGACAAAGAAAGAACAGAAATACAGAAATCTTAAAACAGTGAGATGAGTTTTGCAAAGAGGAACAAAAAAGTGGCAAATGCACGTACCACTGACTCTGTGGTTCCTGAGGACCTTGGCCTTGTGTGCTCCTCATCTGGAGGCTTCACAGCAGAATTCCTTGCTGCAGGTGGCAGGGAATAGTTGCTTCTGAGGAGTGTAAACAGCATTGGGGGCTGCAGGGAAAGAACTTAAAGATTGTTAAACTTTGCTGTCTGTGAGCATGTGAAAAAACTGCTGCATGTCTGTGTTTTCTTCCAGGCTGGGTCCAGTGTGTGGCCCTCAGGGATTGCTAAGACTCGTGAAAATTCTTGCAGCATTTCCATCACTTCAGCATTTAGAGTGAGTTCTGCTACAGATCAGCTTTGCCACCATCACTCCTGAGCAGCCCTTGATGATGGGAGAGCTCTTGTACCTGAGAAACATTTTATTTGGCCACAAGACTCTTTGTTTTGATGAACAAACTGAACAGCAGACACATCCTGAGTCTGTAACAGCAGATGAAAAGCTCTTCATCCTCCCTTGGGACACTTGGTGGTGTTCCACTCAGTACCCTCAGTCACTTCCCTGGGTGTTCCTTGGCTTTTGGGAAGGGTTTAGTCCAGACCCACCGGGTGCTCCCCCTTTCCTGCCTCAGCACCGCTCAGCACTGCCTGAGGGTCACTTATTTCTTCCTTGAAGCTCCAGAACCTGCCCTTATCCATGAAAAACCAACTGTCTCTTAATTTTAAGCTTCCTTACACTGAAACAATTGTACCAACAATAGCCAATACTCTGCCACGGTGTCTGTGGGAAGGTGACTGAGGTTTGACAGGGCCTTTGGCCTCCCTGGCTCAGCCCATTGGCCATTTGTCTGTATTGGATCTGGCCTTTTCGTGTTTTGGGAAAAGAATAAAGCTTTAAGACTGAAATGAGTCCAACATATCCCAGCATTACCTGTCAGATTAGAAGGGGATCGAATATCTAAAATTGTGACTAGACACGAAGAAAACTTAATTTCTAATACTCTCACCCTGGAGAAGGATCTGTTTAGGCAGGGATTTACAGCCTCTGCTGGATTTTGTCAGTTCTGTATTTCTGTGTGAGCAGGAAATCTCATTTCAGCTTAGCTGGAACACAGCTGTTTCATAACTATTTTAATAATCTTGCATATCAAAGGAAATGGGTCAAGCTATTCATTCAACTAGTAAAAAAAAAAATTCTTAGGCTGTAAATTTGGGCAGCAGAAAGCTGCTTATTAGAGAAGCTGTAATTTGTGTGATGCTTCATGCTGATTGAGGCTACTGCAGAGAAGGAGCTTTTCAAGATAGATAGAGTGGTCTCTGAGGTGAATAAACCACAAAAATTTAGATTAAAAGGGGAGCTAATTCTCTCTTTGTCGTCACCCAGCCTTGACGCTCTGAGTGAAAATGGCATAGGAGATGAAGGAGCAAAGAGTCTATCTGAAGTCTTTCCAACCCTGACATCACTGGAAACATTAAAGTAAGTGCAAGGGTAACAGTTCTGGGAAATTTTGAAAAGAAGTAAATTAAAGTCAGAGCCTTAAGGGACTGTGTGTTAACAATTACGGGCACAACTACTCCATGGGCATGGAAGACCAGATGAGTCTATGGGGATAATTAATCTGTTCATTTATTAGAGAAATAGGATAATCCTATGGCAATTCCTCCCTGCCCTTCAAGGGCCGTGTTTTGTCTTTTTCTCTGCATTTGGTCTAAACAGACGGCCCAACTTATATTTTAAAAAAATGAAAATTAATTTTCCCTATGTTGTAATAAATTAGAACAAACGTGCTCAACTAACACAGTGATTTCTCTTCCTGCAGTTTGTCACAGAATAAAATAACAGACGCGGGTGCGGAGAAACTCGCGACAGCCCTTCCTTCCTTGTCCTCCTTAAAAACACTAAGGTAAGTAGTGTATCCTGTCCAGGTGTTTTATACAACATACCTTGCTGTCTCTGGCAGAAATTACTGAATGTGGAACAAATATATACACTGTGCAACAGCCAAGCTTTTGACTTCAGTCCTGCATAAAGCCCTTAGAAAGAAGAGGAGAACAATTCTGGCCCAGCACAGACATACAGAAGGATATCTCAGGAATATGAAGTTGTGTTTTAAACTTTAACTGCAAATAAGCATCAATTGAAAGCTAAAATGTACTAAGAAATATTTGAAAACCCTTGATCTAATATATAGTGTGTTTACATTATCCATTACTCAATTTTGACTATACTGGTTTGGTTTTCTGCAGCTTGTACAATAACAACATTAGTGATTTTGGAGCAGAAAATCTGGCAAAAGTTCTTCCTGCAATGACATCTTTAAGAGTGCTAGAGTGAGTATGAAATCTTTTGAAATGGCCTAGGAAAGCTTACTTCCTTGGAGACTGAAAATTCGAATGTCCCATGCTTGGCTTCAGAAGAGACAGAAATTGAGGAGGGAAATTTCACAGGGAAAACGTGCTTATGCAGAGTCCAAACAGTCAGTGACTAGAGAAGATTAAGGAGCAGTTCACCATAAAAAATAAAATATTGCTGTTAAGATGGGAGAATAGGGTTATGGGGAGTTGGAGAAGGACCTCAGGTACACAGAAAAAGGAATCCCTCAGATGAACTGACTTAGTTAAATTCCTGTTTGACCTTTTGAGTACATTATTACAGGCTTTTTGAATCAAGAATCTATTCTGCTTATTTTTTTTCTTTTTTCTTTCTTCTCCCATCTGCAGATTAGCCTATACAGTATTTTTAATTTTGAATTAAATGTTTGATTACACCACTACATGATGTGATCTGGATTAACAAAGTTGTTTTTATTCCTCAGTGTTCAGTACAACAAAATAACCAGCGTTGGAGCCCAGCAGTTGACCAACAGCCTACGAAAATGTCCCCATATAAAGAACTTGGTGTAAGTGTCTGATAGGCTGTTTGCTGCACCTTCATCCTGTAAAACTGGGGTAGAAATCATGCTACAGCTGAGATCTGTATTTGTCAGATTTATGAGGCACGAAGAGACGTCACCAAAATACAAAAGCAGCCTCGGTGATGTTAAAAAGTTGTCTCTGGTTTCAGCTGCATTACTTCCCAAAGGTCCCAGGCAAGTTTGTCCCGCCTCAAACATAGTTTACGATTAAGCCTCCCTTTGTAATCTTCTGCCCTCCCAGAGAACTCAGTGTTCTCAGTGCTGCAGGACTTGTGTTTGGGGGATAAACAATGAGCAAACACCACTACAGGTGATGGCAACTGAAGTTGCCAATACACATTCAGAGGGAGTTTGATGGAAAAGTTGAAGAACAGTTACAGAAACAGGATTGTAGTGTGTCCTGTAACCAGAGTCAGCAAGGTCATGGAGGACTGAGCTGCATTTTCTAAATCAAAATGCATTCTCATTTGTTCCATAGCTTAAATACTTTTATAGCATGATATTCAAAGGGAAAGACAATTTCAAAAAAAACCCACAGACAACAATTACAAAGTCACAAACGCAACAAACACAGAAAAAACACTGTGAAGCAAATAACACTTCTTAAAATCTCTTTCCTTTCTGAATTTGCCCTTACAGGATGTGGAATCCCACCATTCCCCATGGAATTCTTGAATACCTTCAGCAGCTGGACTCCAGGATCAGTGTGTAGATTCAGAGGATCCCACAAAGGTAACAGAAACTCTGGCTCCCTAAGATGGCAAGATTTGTTTCTGGGGGAGCTGTTGATCTCAGGCTCCCTGGCAGCAGGCACAGGAACAGCATCCATGTGTCCATGGACAAGGACAGAGACACTGCCCTAGAGTGGCACAGAGGGTCACATCAGGGTCCCTTTTACCCCCTCACCTTTCATCCCCCATCTCCCTGGCACCTGCACTAGCAGACTGCAAGTGCTGCTTTAAGAAAAATGGACTTCTCCCAAATATTCCAGTTCAGCCCAGTTCAGTGACTGGCAGTTGCCCTGCTTACCTTCTCTTTTGTGTTGCCAAAAACTAAAGTTCTATGTACTTCTCATGTTTAATAGATGAGTTCTGTTCTCTTCAGAGATGGTTTGTGTTGATTTTTGGGAAGTCCTTTCACTTTTCCTGTGTTTAATACAAATCCTCGACAGCTGCTTGTCGCACTATACCTATAGTGAGTTCCTATACTGTACCTATACTGTACCTATACTGTACTCAGAGCAAACCATGAGTTCCTACATTCCTTGTTCTCAGTCTCATCGTGTGGTTTAGCCACTGGCAGCCACTTCACTTCATTGATTCTGCTCGCAGTTTCAAGGACTCCTGAAATAATTGCATTGCTAATAATTTAATAAGTTTGGCAATGATCACCAGGATCTGACTGCCTTGATGCTCCTGGACTGAAGGAGCTGCAGCTGGCATGGGAAGTTAGGGATTTGTGTAGGATTTCTGTTCCCAGCTTTCTGCCATATGCTTCCTCTTGCTCTTAAAAAAAAAATCGAGGATGCATCAGTGAAATGATCCCAGTGAAGAATGACATACCAGAGTCAAGCCAGATACCAGATGCCCTTCAGCTTTCTTTCAGATGGCAAGAAAACACATCCCATGAGATCACCAGCTGCATGAGCTGTGGTGTGAAAGGGCTGGCAATGGCCAATGGCTCCCTAAACCATGCAGTGAGCTGAGCTTTTGCATGACTCCTGCTCTCATTGCACTAATCACCAGATGCAGACTGGGCTGTATATATTGCACTGACCAGGCTGCAGGTTGTGGAAGACTCAGGTGCCACAGCCTGGCTTTATACAGCAGCACTGAAAAATTGTTGTGGTCCTTAATGGCCTACAGTCAACTAATTCTTTGTCCTCTTGAATGACTGTACCTACTCAGGAAAGGAGACATTAGGGATATGATCACTGGGAGGAAACCTTCTGCATTAGCACTGGGGAGAAGCAATGGTAGCAAGTCTGGGTCCTGTCTCCCAGCCTTGAGACATGCAGCATCTACCAACCACTGCTGTCTGTTTACAGAGCTCATCAAATATCTGATTTTGGTAATCGTAGTGGTGATTAGGCTGGTGGGTGTATATCTAATATTCTGTTTTCATCATTTCACAGGTATCATAAAGAAGAGGGGAAGGTGTCTTTGTGCCTTCCTATCTTCTCGCTGCTTTACGAATCAGAGGCAGATTTTCATGTTGCAAAAAAGGTCACCTTTAACTTTCTAAGTGGTGCTTAAATTAGGTGGATTATAAAGTTTGAATTTTCAAGGTCATTTAAAATGCTACTCAAAGACACAGTCGTATTCCTACTGAAGTGATGAAGAGCTAAGCCAACATCAAGTTTCATCGATGAAAAGTGCATCTGGATATTGTGATCACCATTAAAGGAGACCAGGAACCACCAGGATGTTGACAGTGTAGAATTCCATCATCGATTCATCAAAGAGCAGACTGAAAGCTGCTGAATCTGCGACACCTGAAGCAGTGATAGATCAAATCTGACTGTTCCATGGTGCCAGTGGTAACTGTGATTGACTTTGGTCTGATGATTTTGGACTTTTAAAGCCCAGTGTTACAGATTCCACTTGTGAGTATGGGCTGATTTGAAGCATTAGGATGAGGAACATAAAAAAGAATGATCAGTCCTAGAAAAAGTGATATTGGAAGATTATCCACGAGAATTTAGAAGTGGTTCTTTTCTTGATGCTAATCATCAGTGCTGTCTTAAGGGATAGAAAGATATTTTCTATCACTTGTTTGTTATAGAATCCTCCAAAAAAATCTTGGGGGGGGGGGAAGAAAGAAGTAATGAGAAGAAAGGAATTAAAACTGAAAAACTACTCAGGATTTTTCTGACATCACAGAAATCCAAATGCATACAAATACCTTCAGTTTATTGCACAAAAATCTTCAAAGTGACAATCTTTGAAGGTTTTTACTTTGTATCAAATGAGAACTGTAAATTAATATACCCGTATTGAGATTTAGTCTCTTAAATGCAGCTGGCAACATAAATGTTTACAGGCATAGATTTTATACTTGACAGTGATTTCACTACTGTATGTGGTTTATGTGGTTGTTCTGATACAGTTATTCATAACTGGGCAAAACCAGGCAAAAATACATTTAAAAGCATTATCATGTCTGTGCTGCTGGTCTCAGTCATATGTGGGCCAAATAGTCATCCTGTTGCTACAACAGCAAACCAATTGTCTCCGTTTTTTTCCTTTATTTCTGTTCTGTGAACATGGAGAGAACTTACAATTGTACAGAGACAATTGTCAGGTCAGCACTAGAGTTCTGGCTTCCTCTCAGATACAGTCTGAGACAGAACAACAAAAAGGGACAGAAAAAGCTAGGAACGTTTGATATGCCACAAATTGGGAAGTCTCTCCTTCACAGTTAGCTCAGGGTTAGCTCAGCCACTCCTTTGAAATCTCTTCTGCTAAGAAGCACTGACAATACTGACCCAAGTATCTGGTGCAAACTAGAATCTCTCAGCTACCCTCTCAAATACTCTGTTGCTTGGTCTTTTAAAAGTCCCCCTTTTAAACAGCTCAAAACCAGTCTTTATGTTCTTTCAAGCAAGTTACACTCCTTTGCTAATGTTCCAGTGCCTGAAGGATCTTGACAGCAGGGACAGAGAGTTGGACAAATTAAAGAAAGAAGGGAGGAAGGTCTGTTGGTTGTTTCTCAGAGCAGAGGATCAGATATAGGATGTGAAAGAATAGAGAGTAAGGTGGAAAAACTCTGTGGAGAATATGAATGTAATTAGAATGTGGTATTTTTCTTAACTGTCTGCATGATTCTTCTGTCTAGCCAGAATCAGGGATAAAAGATCTCATTTATACTCCCCCTTTTGAGCTGCTTGAATGGGAGGTAGTTTGAGCCAAATCTTGTGTGATATTCCCATCAGCCTGCAGCGTTCCAGCCGTGCACATCCACGGTGAACGCTTGTCTTGGCTTCCCTTAACTAAGCTTGGGATGACAAATGCCCCTTCAGGCACATATTCTGCAGCTGCACTTTACTGTGACTGAATCTGAGAATGTGCTAAATATTACCCAGGCAGATGAATGTTACAGGACCCTGTCTGGACTGATAAAGTCAGGCTGTATATACTGCTATTCTCTTTCTAGGAGTTAGAGAGAGATGTATTTTTATAATGTACAGATTGTAAATTGTGACACCGTGTTTTAGTTGTCTTTACACATCTTTTTTAAAGTATTAATAAAGCTGAGTATTATGTTTTACAGTACCTTCTACTACCTGTTGAAAATTATTTTGATTTTTCTCTTGGAAAACCATGAGAGAGTGCTGGCTTCTGTCGTAATGACAAGCTCAGGACTTCATGTTGCAGGTCAGTGGGAAGCACTCTGTGTGAGGGAGGCAGGTTGGTCCTGCTGGCACTTAGCAGTTCAGTGGTCTGGAAATGGAGAAATAATTCTTTCTTAACAGGCAACGGGGTATTGCAATGCCAACTGACAGACTGTGAGTTCAGGATCAGAAGATGCAAAAGGGCTGACTGAGCCTGCCTGCTAACAAAAGCAAAAGGGTTTTTTCATCCTTTCTAAATCTTTGTAGTTAAAAATTCTAAAATTAATCACGGTTTAAAGTCTAGATATTCTTGAGGCACAAAGCTCCTCCAAAATGCTTTTGTCAAATGAGCGTATTGTGTATAGAGACTGAATCCACTGGCTACCCTGAAAGAAGCTGTTCTGATCAAATCTGTGTTCTAAAAATCTTTTAGGGTGAGAAAAATGCTGCTCTCTTTATGCCAATCTTTTTTTGTTGTCAAAGAAGCCTTGTTAAAACACCAGGGATTGTGTTATGATGGAAGTCAGACCCCATAGCACTCTCTCCATCCTTTAAATGTCTGAAGCTGAGCTGTTCTGAGAAATCAGAAATCTTGATCTAAGATTCAGAATCTCCAAAGTGACTTACTGGGTGGAATTTGTATTGCCTTATCTGTGCATTGTGTGGCATAAACCCACTGCAGGGAAATTACTACAAAATGGTAGATAGGGCAGTAAGTACCAATAACAACAAACTGAACCATGTTCTTAAAATGGCATGCATGTGACCCTGAAAAACTAGAGAAGCCATCTCTGAACAGTATGAATTTCTGATTATACAGGCAGCAAGAATGCCCCCTTCAGTAGCAAAATTCAGCATTTCTCGTATTAGCACCAAGTGGGCACATGAACACAAGTGGTGGTGTGATCTTGACAAGTTTTTTAATTTGGTTATTCTTTCTACAGGTACCTAACTGGGGATTTAGTTCCCTAAATGTATCTTTATATATTAGAATATTGTGCCCTAAGTGATTTCATTCCTGTATTGCCAGCTAGGGATTATATGGAACAAAGAACTTGTCAGTGTTTTAAGGCCCTAAACTGCATCTGATGACACCTATCTTGGAGAAAAGCTACTTGGCTCAACGCCAGTGCTTCATCTCTTGCAGGAGCAGCTGAAAATTGTATTTGGAGCACAGAAATTTTGGGAACTGGGAGATAGTTTATACTGCCTAGGGGCTAAAAAATGCTGTTAGAGTGCAACACGCTGGGAGTATCAGGGAAAAAAAAATCAATATGCAAGTTTCTTTGTCATTGTTTCATGGGAGATCTAAACCACCACCCTCTTGTTCCCTCATGCTGACTGTCAAGAGGCTCATGCTGTGTCTGGATTGGGAAGCCCCAGCTCGGAGCAGATGGTAAACACAGACCTCAGAGGACAGACATCATGCAGAGAGAGAAACCAGGAGAATTGTTTCCAATACTGCTTTATCTGCAATGGTCTTGATACATCAGCTTGGCTAAACAACTACACAGTTACAAAACTCACGCTTTTCTAAAAAATAAAACCAAGCCCAGGCCAAGACCTGCCCTCAGTAACGTATGGGTTCCTCCCACCAAAGTTCCTGATATTTCAGTTCAGGTCGGATTTCTTAATCAGTTGTTTATGAGAAGGATTTCTACATGCTGGGCATCTCAGCAATCTGGAACTATGTGAGGTACCTGTAGGAAAACTAAGATTTCCTGGAAAGCATATTTAAATTATTTTCTATCCAAATAGAATAATAACAACTCCAATATGACTGCTTAATTTTTCATGGAAAAGGTAAGTCTTTATTGTATTGCTTTCACATCTGTACATAGGAACATGAGCTTAAACAATCTGCCAAATATTCTCTGTTAGATAATTAATCCATCTGACTTATATAAAATTCACCCTCTGATCTATTTCAAAACTCACAATTTAAATAAAATATCTTACTAGCACAGTCTTGCCGTGATACTCCCTGAACAGAACCTCCTTGCAGTCACTCCTGCATATTATCCCCTGAGAAAGCACTGCCTTTGAGCTACTGGCTGGTAGAGTTTTCAATGTGTGATTGTAAAACCCTCTTAAGCTATACATAGAGCGTGTCCACTTGGGTGACATGGCATTTATTCAAAAGTGTATCAAATCTGAGTAACATCTTGATTTTCTGTTATAATGGAACATTATATTTATCTTATTTTTCACACAGTCCATCCCAGAATTACCCATGGAAGCCCAGCACGGTGCATAAATCACTGCAGTTTAGTGCACCTTCAAGAGGCAAAGGCCTTGAAGAGAAGTCACAACTGACAAGGTCTGATGACAACTCTTCTTGTTGTTCTCTTGTCCTTATTTCCATCTCCATATTTCAGAGTACAGTTTCTTTCCAGGACTTGATCCATTATCCTGGTCATAATCCATTTCAGCTTTTTAATGAATCTGTTTAAAAGAAAACACATAAATAGAGAGTAACCTTCCACAGGTAAAATGAACAGAATAGTCACTGTGTATGTGAGATATAGCACCATATCCTTGACTTTTTAAAACAATAAAAATTAAAAATCAAACCCTTTTGTGACTATGGCTAATAATTCTTTGAGCAGTAAAAGCCTGAATAAGCTTTCATAGAAATTCATGTTAACAGTTCCTGTTAATGTCAGAGCACACAAGCCCTTAGTGGAATTTTAACAGAGGCATGAAGATATCGGTGTGAGGGCTTTGAGAGGTATGAGAGTAAGCTGTGAACCACAGTCCAGCCGTGCCAACTAGTAAAGGATGGTTTTAAGAGAGTACAACAGCTGTGACATTCACTGGGGTAACCTATTTTATGACAGGTTTGGCATCATTAGACTTATTCATTAAAACTGTTTTTTGAACTGGTTACTTTTTCTTAAGGAGATATTGTTCATTAGAATGTTATTTTTTGTGTTATTATGTTAACTATGTATTGCCTACATTTGATGTAGCTCTGATTTTGGTCACTTTCTCTTTTAAGTTAGAGTGGTGTTGTTCAAACCACTTTGGATCCACTGGTAAGTAGTTACAGAGTTAAGTAACATTTTGGGGTAACTTACTTTGGTCTTACTGGCAAGAATAAATTACTGTTATATTACTTTATCCCAGTTCAACCAGTTTGCCTTGCCTAAGTCACAGTATCCAATTGCTGTGAGGAGATGATTTTTAACTACCACCAGAGGTAAATACAAGAGCTGTGGATTATGAAGCTGCTGGGCACTACTGACTGTGTCTATTTGGTGTTGTGATCATAGAGATGACTACTACAACGTAGAATGGTGCAGCTCTGAGGGGGGATGACTGTGTGGGGATGAATCTGTGTTGAGGATGAGCTGAGGTACAGAAGACCAGGAGCAGGTCCCCTGGCTGCCTGCAGCTCATCTGGGCTGTGTG